TGCTTCTAAGGCCCTGTTAACTGGTATGTTAGTATAAAGACTAGTTATATCAAAACTAACCACTGTTTCATCATTCTCTAGTTGAATGTCGTTTAGTTTATTTTTCATCTCATATGAGTTAGTTAATCTAGAGTTTGAACGATTTCTAATGAGGCATAATATTAGAGCTAAGTGTTTTGATAATTCATAAGTAGGTGTATTTCTAAAATCAACTATTGGTCTTATGGTGTAACCTGGCTTATGTATTTTAATAGTACCATATATTCTACTAGCATTATTAGTTTTAGGCATTAAATTAAACCATTTTGACTCACTCAGTGTTGGCTTCATTCTGCGTATTAATTCCGCTGTAGATTTTCTAACCTTATTCATTATTGTATCTACAGGCTTCTTAATTTCCTCCCATGCACCAATCTCAATGTGTTCAGTGACTTTCATGATATAGTCAGATTTATCCAAGACTACTGTCGAGTTTCTCTTGTCAGCTTTCAAAATGATGATGTTTTTATCTTGTTTTAGACTAATTAAAGCTAGTCTTTTCGATGTTGTCAAGTTTGATTTTGTTTTCTTTTGATTTTTCAGGGTTAATGCACATTCTGCTCGAACCTCTTCTGCTGTTGTCTTATCTATTGAGCTTACTGCTACTTCTATGTTAAGCATGACATCCTCTGGTTTTAATTTATTAACCGTTACGTCGAAACGTAGTCCTTTCTCAAGTACTTTTATCTCACTAGAGCTTAGTTCCCTTGATGAGAGGTTGATTACACCCTTTATTCTGCCTATGGAGGATGAAGCGTTGACATCAATTTCATTTGTTGTGTTCTTTTCTTCAATTAGTTAGGTGATTTTTTTATTTGTCGTGAGAGTGTTGATTTTGTTTATTTACCCTGATGGGGTTGTTGCATTTCCACTGTGATGGCTGGTTTAACTGCAGAGCTTTCATTTTCTAGACGTTGTCTGGAAAGACAGTGAGAATGAATTAGTTAAGTGCTTGTTCAGACACATTCAGCATGTACATGGATACAGAACAACATTAGAGAAGCAGAATTACAGAACTTCACTAAAGTACCAATAGATAACAACTATGGCCAGGAATTTATAAGACATTACAGAATTGCCAAACAAAAGGCTCCACCTATCCAAACACCACCATACTTACCGTTTAAGGGTATGTCATCAAAGCCTGATCGCTAAGCAGAGACTAAGGGCGAACTGAAAACATTTTCAAGCTAACCCTCACGACATCTGAGTGATAGTGTCACATATCACTGTATTTACACGCATATGCATCCATATGTACGTACATAAGGAGTTCGTATCAATACCTGCAGACTAGGGCTACAAAATACCTTCCAAAATGGCTACAACAACAAATGAAATCAATAGATACAATTAATCCTAGGAAATAGATGTCCAACATTATCTATTGCAAAACACATCATGAGGATGGGTAACATAGTTACTTTCAATAACGACTTTAAACCCGTTATAATCTTCAATCTTAACACAAAAGTGCGAATCAAACGTCTTCAAACCACAGAACTAATGGCATATTACTTATTAAATCCTGAACTGTGAGTACAAAAGAAGAGTACAAAATGTCAGCTCATGATGAAATCCTGTAACCAACCAAATCCCTGCAAACCAACACTTGAATAACAATGAGATGCTCACTAGTGACTTTGCCTATTCAGGTAGGCAGTTACCTGAGGTTCTAGTGGGAAGTCGTGACCAGTAGGGTGCAGCAGGTCGGGTGTGAGGAAAAATACTCTCCGAAGACATTGGCTAGAGGTAGCGCTATGTCGTGAATTGGCAGAAGTTAGAATTCATGCACTGGCCATTGGATCGGATTTCAGAGGCTTAATGGTCTACGAGCTCGGTGGCCTTGTAACCAGAAGGTCCTAGGTTCGAACCTTGTCGATGGGTGAGTACTGATGAAGAGTCCCAAACTAGGCTGACGAAACAGCTGGCTGTCCAGTAATTCCAGCTGGTTTTTAATGGTTCTCTAACTGATGTCAGCTCATGATACAATCCTATGACCAACATAAATTTGTTCAGTCAATATATCTACAATGCACCTTATCTGTCTGAGCACTGGTTGTTGCTTGTAATTCTTGTTTTTTTGTTCATTTATTATTGGGTTATTTTATTTCCACACCGTCTAATAAATTTCTAACTTTTGGTACTAACGCCGTTAGCTTGTTTCATTTGATTTTATTTGCCACCCCATTAACGCTTTTTATATTGAGTAATTTGTTGTCAAAAAATGCACAACTCTAACGACGCATCTCTGGAAATAATTTTTTTTATTGTTACAACAATTAACCACGTATAAATGCTTGAGAATGATATCACTTAAAGGAGAAAATCTTTGCTGAACATCTTTTCTTCCATGACTTCTATAAAAAAGTTCTGGTCACATTGTTAAATTCGTTGAAGCCTTGAGCATAAAAGGGCTTGAACGTGTATTCAGAAATAACTTGTCATTACTGTGAGCCTGTCTTATTAATCCAATTTTCGAAACAAGGTTCAGTTTACTTAATAATCTTTTCATCGGTAATTATCTTACCACATATTCTTACGCCATCTTCCTGTCTCTTATCTGTGTGACCATGACCTGCAGACAGCTTGCTTTGTTGCTCTCTGTATCAGTATGTATGACAGTTTAGTGTGTGATCAGAAAATCTCAAATGTGTTACGTAAACCCATGACGCATTACAGATGAATTTTCAAATATTGGTTTTGTAAGGAATTTGTTTGATTGCATGGAGGATTTCTTCATGATCTGACACCAGTTAGAGAACCACTGAAAACCTGGGAATACTGGACAGCTGCTTCGTCAGCCTAGTGTGAGACATCATCAGTACACTCCCACTGACAAGGTTCAAACCTAGGACCTTCTGGTTACAAGGCCACCGAGCTCGTAGACCATTGAGCCACTGGGTCCCGATCCAGTGGTTCTTGAACTCTAACTTTTGCCCATTCACAACATAGCGCGACCATTTCGCAATGTCTTCTTCGATGAGTTACTGCCTCCTCTTCGACCGCTGTATCCTAATGGTCACGGCTAACTGATGTCAGCTCATGAAGAAATCCTCCATACATTACAGATGAATTACGACCGTTTATTTATTGTTCAGTCGAAAAAACGAAACAACGAAAGTTTGACTATTGAACAGTCCAACATTGAGAATACAGTGACATCAAAGTCCATCCACTTGAGATGCAAATTTGTCCGGAGGCTGATTTAGCTGTATATGACATTTGAAAAAGAGAAGACGTTCAACGAAGAGATGCTTTTCGGCGAATTCATTCACATAGCGGTAAAACGCATTGATGTTTAATTATTCGTGTGTGTGTACATGAGGTTTGTCAAGTTTAGATAACTGGTCAGGTAATACAAAAATGATCTAATATAGAAACAAGGTTAATCAGACAGCAACTAAAGTAAGATTGAGTTAGTAAGTTAGATGGTTTTACAAAGGAGAAAAACGATGCCCTCGCAACTCCATCTTAGAACATCTGGTAGAATCCGGACACCAAGTAACATCCCTCAAACAAACTTCAAAGTCGTCTACAGAGTAAGAAGTAGTCCTCATAAAGGTGTACGAATCAGACTTCCTCAAACTACAGAAGCAATGGCGACTCACTTGCTAAGTCCTGAACTCTGCATACAGAAGAAGTTCGTTCAACCACTGTACTTGCAATGAACTTAATCTATATTATTACCCGACAAGTAAATTCTACCTAAACTTTTTTTTGTCTGAGTCTTCATTAGTATTATTTTGTCTTCTCAACTGTAATATTTTACATTTTCAACTTTCCTGTTCTCTATCACTACCCGACTTAATTTCTACGCATCAATACCACTGTTACTGACTTGACCAATGCTCAATTTCTAGTCAGTTATGTTACGTCATCCAATTTATTTGCTCAACTTTAGTCCTTATTTAAATGGCATTATTCTCTACCTCAATTCTACTTAGTCTCTATCTGCAATTACCTCTGTTGCTATCCTGTTGAAGCACTTTAGTCAATTATATAACGTCGTTTAACTTACTAACTCAATCTTACTTTAGCTGCTGTTTGATTAATCTTATTTCTGTATTAGATCATTGTTGTATTACCTGGTCGATTATCTAAACTTGACAAACCTCATGTACACACACAGGCACACAAATAATTATATGTAATTGCGATTGTACAGCTGTATGAATGAGTTCACCGAAAAGAGTGTCTTCTCTGAACGTCTTCTCTCTTTCATATGAATCAATGAGGATTTTCAAGTATATGACATTGTCAGGTTTTTGATTATCTTTTAGCAATCATTTAAATGAAAAATTCTTGTTAAGCGTTATTTAACTTCGTTGGCAACCTTTTCAGTAAAATTGTCTCTTTATTGTATAAAAATCCACAATGTTTCACCTAAGACATAATTTGTTCCAAGTTTGATCACGGATTGACATTAGGTAGAGCATCATTGAAAACCAGGAAGTAAGTACTCTATAGTTGTTTCGTCCCTCTTTGGGACTCTTTAGAAGAACAAAGTTGCTGGAGTTTGAACCCAGGACTCTCGGATTAAAAGGCGAACTTGGAGACTGTTTAGCCACTGAGACGCAAACTTAATGATCCATCAATTTAAACTTCTCCCGATTCGCAGTATATGTAGAGCAGCTGCCAACCAATATCATCGGTGGTTACGACTCTGTTTACAGTATATTACCAAACCATGATTCTGTATTTTTTTTGTTTTCATTAGTTCAGTTTTTTGTTTATCGTCTTCGCTTTGATGTACACGCAGAAAACATATGCCGACTTTAACCAGTAATCAGTACACAGAATCCCATCTGTGTAAATTATTATGATTCATCGTACAAAGAATGATTCATTTCCCGTTTGCGCACGCAGTGGATTTAAAACTATTTATTATGTCAATGAATTGTAATTACTTTTATTGTGTTATAAAACAATTGTTTGGTATTTTAACTTTTTCGTTACAGGTGATCAAAGCAGTACAATGTGTCCATTAAATGTTGATGCGCATTCCCACAAGACAGTATCACCAGTTGCTGTGATAGACAACAGTTGTATGTCAGATTCGTCAATTACACCGATGGTTAAAAATTCTCATGAGGTGAGTTGATTTTCATTTTTCACGGCCTAAAATTTTGACAAATAAAATGTAGAATTATATGAATATGACGTTGTGGAGTTATTGAAATCATGTGCAGAGTAATTATGGGTACTCTAACTAATCTTTCGAATATTTATATAGTATGTATCTCCAGCAGGAACGAACAAGGATGTCAAATAGAGAATCAGGAAGGCGAGAAACACACACGTTCATCAAACTGAAACCAATCAGGAAATCTTCGTCACTCAGCCAGCATCAGCAACAAAATTCAGTCGAGTTTTCAATACAAACGTCAAGTCAGTCACTTCTTCTATACGGATCAGAAACTTGGTGGGCGGATCACAAAAATTGTTTCCAACAGGCTATTGCAGACTTTCATCAACAGCAACTGTCTTGGCTCTGTACTGAAGATTAGATGGCCGGGCCCGAATGAATCACCAACAAAAACTATGGGAACGAACAAACAAAACAAGAACCAATCGCCCAACTTATATACAGGGGAAAGTGGAGATGGATTGGACACTCACACGTTGAGGAGGCCGCTGGGTGACATCGTGCGCGCGTCAGGCCATTGCTTGAGTGGAACCAGGCCGGAAGGGAAGCGGCGAGTGTGTTGTCTTTGCAAGGGTGACATGGAGGAGATCGTATGAAGAGGAGTTGAAAGAGTATGGACTGACATGGATGTAGGTGAAAAGTAGAGCAGAAGACAGAAGTAAGTATAGTCGTGGATTTGAAGCCCTATGTTCCACTAGGGACCCAAGTGTATTCGTCTCGTATATAATAATTTCATCAAATATTTCTCTGTCTCTTATTCTTTTCAGTACATTTGAGCTTTGATATCACTAAGTGGACGTGATTCTACTATTAGCCACTGAATAAGGAAAGAGACAAAGAGTGATTGTGATACAATAATATTTCATGAGAAAAACAGCCACGACATTTGACAGTGTAACGGGTGCCTTGTTCTACTACTGACTAGGTATATTCATACACCGTTCAACGTGTATCGATGGTTTAGTGTCAGAATGCATGTCGATCACTTAGTTTCCGGGTCCGATTCTTGGCCAACGAACTCTTAAACCTAACTTAAGCCTGTCTTAAGTTTGATGAAGAGGAAAGGCAGGAACTATGTTCCTATGGACAGGAACAGAACAATGCTCAGATGGACAAGTATACGTGTGATGTAGAGTTTGCCTCAATTATACGCTGAGCAGATTCGTTTGAATATGCAGTTATAAGTATTATAATTTTCTATAGTTTGGTTAGTAAGGGTTAGATATGTTTGTACGAGTTGATCACGGATTCATATCAGTTAGAGAACCATCTAAAACCAGGCAGTACTGGACAGCTGTTTCATTCCACGAGTTTGGGAATCATCAGCAGTACGCACTCACTGGGATTCGAGCCCAGGACCTTCTGATTACAAGGCAAGCTCGTATACCATATCTCAAGCTGCCTGGTGACTTGCTACAGGATGGAGTTTCCTGGAGTTCTAGTGAGAAGTCGTGACCAGTGAGGTGGATGGATGTCCCACCAACGACAATGGTTGGGGTCGCGCTAAATCACGAATTGGTAGAAGTTAGAATTCATGCATTGGCCATTGAATTGAGTCCCAGTGACTGAATGGTATACGAGCTTGCCTTGTAACTGGGAGATCCTGGATTCGAATCCCAGTGGGTGCGTACTGATGATGATTTCCAAACTAGGATGAAACAGCAGCTGTCCAGTACTCTCAGGTTTTCCAATGGTTCTCTAACTGAAATCAATCCATGATCAACTCGTAAAAAATTATTATAGTTGTTATTTTCTTGGGTTCCGAGTGGAAAACAGGGCATCATCACTATACCTCCATCTCACCTAGTTATCTGAAGTCGTCTTAGGTTGACTCCAAGATCGCCCTTAAGCCTTCATCTCCTCTTCACATGATCTCCATTTATGTCACACTAAGACCTACTACACCCAACTCACTGTTTCCACTTCAGCTAAGGCCTGACTGGCGATGTCATTTAACTGTCTTCTTCTCAGAACATGTATGATGCATCTCCATTTTATTCTGCACATTTGTTTAGCAAGAGGTCCCTGATTAGTTAGTTCCTAGGTTTCTTATTGGCTTACCCTTCCGAGTCATTTGATCTTCAGAATTGCGCCAACTCATTCCAGTCCTCGATGGAGAGTTAAGTGGCTTTTTTGTTTGTCGGAATTCTATTCGGAATTTTATTTTTTTTTTTGCTTATTGCCACACATTTGCAAACCGATTCCAGATTGAAGAAGGTCTGTCCAGCCTTTATTATTCTAGTTTTGACATCCTCATCTGTTACGCCTATAGTTGGAACAATGTTACCTGGAAAGTCTTCCGTTGCCAGTGGTTGATGCTTGTTGTTGTTGTTGGTCTGTGGGTACCTTCATCACCTCCATCTTCTTCTTAATGTTTGATTGAAGTCCTCACTCCACTACATACTGCTACTGCCAACTGGTTAGTTTTGGCTTTTTGAGTTTTTTTAGGGGGGGGGACATTAGACTCAAATCACCCGCAAAGTTTAAGTCTTCACTATTATAAGTCACCTGTACTAAATCCTGGTGTGACGGATATTAACGTCATTGAAAGCAGAACTAACAATAAAAAACTTGAATTAATTTCTCGACTCGGTTATCTTTTTGTATTTGTTCATCCAGTTAATGAAGGCTGTGAACATAGTTTGCCTGATGTTTGACGTTAAAACAAGACTGAATGCTTTTTTTCTCAGTGTGGATGATGGTCAGAAAGGTGATTGGTTATCAACTATTGGTTGACTCACTGTATAAAAGTTACAATTTTTTTACTAAGGCTTTATATCGTAAGCAAACAACCATAACTTAATTGGGCAAAGTTAAACTTTCGACACCACTAGCAACCAATCAACAAACGACCTTGAATGGACCAATCGCATTAAATAGGCATATATGATGAATGGAAACGCATATTTATAGAAAAAAGCATAAAAAAGGATAAAACGGTTACAAGGAGTATCTTTCTCGAATATGTGAGAGAAACATCTCCCAGTTTAGCATGTGACTGTCAATGGCGAAGTCACAGCACATCCTGTACCTATATTCATCTGAACGGCTGTAAATGAGATCCTTTTCAGATCCATTTATAGCCCTTATCTTGTTTTTCAAGCGGCCCCGAAAACCTTCAGTGGAATTCGTATGAGTCCTCGTAACGGGATCCACACAGCAAACAAGTGATTGTCTCTATTTTACACGAAGAAATATCTCTGCAATGCTGGTACCACTTAACTGTTGAGACAAGACTATTCTCAGTCTCGGCAGCTGCTGCTCTCACCGGCTGTCTCAACACCCAGTAGTTGCAGATATACAAAATCTGGGTTAGAGGAGATGTGACCTAGCGAAAAAATTTCCAGTTGGTCTGCTATAGCTTTTTAAAGTCATGATACCAACATGAGATTAAGTTCGCTCCTTCCGGAGCAATTTAAATCCAGGCAATACTGGAAAACACTAACCTCCTCAAATTGCAACCGTAATCTTGTAAGGTCACGCATTAGAAATGAATCAAGCCTCTACAACATTGAACTACGTTCGTAAATCTCATTGGATAATTCGCTGATTGGTAGTTAGTGGTGTCGAAAGTTTAACTTCGCCCTTAATTGCTACCATACATCCACTAATACTGTAAGTAGGTAAGTAGGATTTACCATCAATATTTACTGGTTTGATGGACAACTACGAAGAAATTAGAGACTTTTGTTTTCAATAAAACTGTGTACTGTATTGATTTTATTAGGATAAGTGCTTGTGTATCGTCAATATCAATCTGTAGCGCTTGGTAGCCACATTGAGGTGATCAACACACCGGATGGACTTGGGTACTGTGGTAGTAAGTAACTCAACAAGCTTGTTTCTAATTAAAACATTCTTTGTCGGTTAAAGGATCAGTTCTGTGGAGCCTTTAAAACAAAACCATTCAGTCTATCTAATACCCTGCCTGCAATGACTGTCAAGTCAAATACATAGGTCAAAGTAGTAGAACAGGGGCAGTCAGACTAGCCGAACATAAAAACCCAGCACTCACTGGATTGGTTGACCCGAATAAGATAAGAAATCTAGAGAATAGTTCAGCTATAGCAATACATGCAGTTACACACAACCATACAGTAGGATGGGATAGCAGTGACAGTTTTAAAATCTAATGTAACAACGTGGTGGAGGGAGAGAATAATAACAGAAGCTTTGTTTATCGAATCAACTGAAGAGAATACGTGTAATAGGAATGATTGAACACCTGTCCAGTCGGATATCTGGAAGATTCTATTAATCCTACAACAAATAGGAGAAGACAAAGAAAACTATCAAACTCAAGTTTCAAAGTCGTGTGATAACAATCGATATGATTGTGAACAATAAATTTTGTTCGAAACCTTGTCATCCAGTAAATAATACTGTTTCACTCACTGTGTGATACATCAAATAAACAAACTAATACGGAATTACACCGGATGGACGTTCTGTCATCCAGCGGACGACCTTATCAGCCGTTTACTCATTTTTGATTTAGTTTACAGATCCAAATCGGCAGAAAACTGCACATTTTGTGGCTAGCTGCTTGAGACAACTTGTAAAAACACTAGTCGAATTCACAGTTTGCAATGTACATTATTTGAACAGTGAAATTTTCCTTTGAAAACCAAATTACTTGATGATATCTGCCTAGTCTTAGTTTCTCAGTCCTCAACAGGATACAATCGCAAGCCTTTTACGGGGTTGAAGCAGCACGTTGAGTATCCAACCATTGGGAGGGAATCGAATAGCTCGCGAAATCACTCGAATCCCATGAAAACTAGCACATAAAGCACAACTAACTACTCCCTCTTGTGTATTGATTTGATGTCATTCGATTACTAAATTTCAAAGTTGATCACAAATCGTTAATTCTCCTTATCGAACTTCATAACTGTCAATATTCCTTCCTGCCTTCTTCTCTAAAGCAACAAGATGTCTCCCAAAAAACAAATATGCCTAATATATTGATCCCACTACACACCCAGTCATCAACATTGCTAAGAAGAAGAATTCACAGAAACACCAGACACAATATTAGTAGAAGGCAGAGTAAATCGGTTAAAAAACAGTTAAGTGAACTGAAAACAACTCAGTGCAGTCAAACAACTATTTCATCTGACGACAATAGTAGTAATAATAATAATAATAAACAGGATATAGAAGATCAGTGGAAAAAAAGACGTCAAAAACGACTAATTAAGGTTATATAATCTGGTTTGATGTTAATTGTTATAGTTGAATATACATTTTGACGTTACCCTTATGTATAATTCATATTGTGTTTGTTCGTTTTAGTTAAGTTTTGTTACGTTATTATTTCAATAAAGGCAATTCAATTCACTTCATGGTGTTGATTTTCTAATTGCAGATTGTGCGTCGGTGGCACAGTGGTTAGGACTCTCGCCGACCATGCACATGGTAAGAGGTTCAAGCCCTCGCCGACGCACAACTGATATCTATGGTCGGCCTGCAAAATTTGGGCTACCGATATCCATGCTGAAAATTCCATACTTATACCAAAAATACAGTGTGGAATCAAGCTGTAATCAAAAATAAATAAAAAATAAAATCTGTTTATAGTTGTATTTGTACGCTGTTTTTTTTTCAATGACTGTGGATTCATAACAGTTAGAGAACCACTGAAGACCATCAGGTGGTTATGCCTAGCTGTTTCGTCTTAGTGCATGGGATTAATCATTATCACCATGCATCCATTGAAACTGGAATCCAGTTGAATCTACGTCGATGGCACGGCGGTTAAGATGCTCGCCGACCATGCACATGGTCCGGGGTTCAATCCCCGGCCACAGATGGACTCCTACAACTCACTAAGCCAGAAATAAAGGATGGTAAAGCGGAAAAGTTGGGCACGAGGCTAGCAACCCCATCATATAAAAATAAACACTGCTACAGAGTTTTCAAGCCTCTGGCCTGAGGCCCTAAGTTCCACTGGGAGCGTGAGGGAACAAAGAAAAAGCAGATAAAACGGTTGGATGTGTCTTTTGAGATAAAGATCAAGGTTAAACTTGAAAATCACTGAAGTTACTCATCTATATGATTTGTGTGGATAATGTTTTTTTTAAGAGGTGTGATCAACGGATAGTTAATCGTTGGTTTACGTCCTTACTGAGGCCTTCGAAATGAAGTGTAGGACTTTTCAGTCTGTCTACACATTTCAAACAAAAAAATACACCGAGAATTGTTTGAGAACTTTGATGCGCAAGAAGGCAGGAAGAGGCTGAACTTGTAAGAAGACTCTAGAAGACTTAGACTTCTTCGACGGTTGTTTATGTCTAGTGTAACATAAAATCGTTGATCCACAAGCACAGTCCAACAAGTTGACAGAAAGTGCTAGCAGTGAACACAGACTTTGCAGTGAACACACAGAAGACAGAGGTGATGAAGGTATCAGACAGTCAACAACAAGCACCACAAAACACTACTGATAAGGGAGGGACATTTGAAATAGCTCACTTGTTTTACCTAATTAGTTAGCATCATTTCAACTGCAACCAGACGACACCAATGAGGATGTTAAAGCCAGTCATGATCGGAGAGGCAGGATTGATCTTCATCTCATTTATCTTCAAATGACATTAATTTTGTTAAATATGCTGGCGACCTAACTATATCTCTGTCTGTCAGTTATCGAAGTTACTGCTCCAAACTAAATGCCTTTTTTTTCAGAAATCAGCTAGTGGTCCAAAGAAAACGGTCTAACCTTAAACCCCACTAAATACCAAACAGTCAATTTCACCTTCAGGGCATAAATCTGACCTAAACAAACTGGTTAGCACTCATGAGGTGTGCAACACAGATGGCAATGAAATAGTGGCTAAGTCGGAAATTGAATACCTAGGCGTCATTCTATCTGATGATCTTTCTTGGTCGTCTCATATCTTGATAATTTCCTAGAGGAACATAGGCCTTCAGACGCACGTCTCCATTGCGTTCGGTTCTCTGCTAGAGTTTTCACCTGGCTCCAAGTCTGCCCGCATGCTTTCATCTCCTCTTCACATGATCTCCTCCAAGTCACTATGAGACTACCTGTCAATTGACTGGACCGAAGTACTCGGTCTTAGGTTGACATGTCGGCTGCTTGTGCAGATGCTTGGACGATGGCTGGGCGTATAATTATAATTTAACTGATGGATGGTGACTAGCTGTGGAATACAGGACAACGCGCATTTCGTCCTATTCAGAACTTGTTGTCATCCGGATATACCTGCATTCCTCAGGGATTGATGATGATGACCCCACCGAAGCTCGAACCCGGTGCCCATAGTTTCAAACACCAAAAGCGTTATCCACTAGACTACTTGGACCACGACAGCCAACTCTTGTGCAACGGGTCATATTAATTATTTAATTCTATTTTAGATTTTCCTGTTAATTTACTGGACCGAAGTGCCAGGTTGGTTCAAGGCACGGTACGAACATCATCACCCACTGGAGAATGCAGGTATATCCTAGATGAACATGAGTCCCAAATAGGATGAAATGCACATTATCCTGGATTTCACTGCTAGTCACCATCCACTAATTGAATTCTATGTTTTTTTTTAATATTATTCATATTTTCATTGTCTAGAAATTGTCTGCTTATGTTTTTTTTTGTTTTTTGTTGTTGAACAGTCGAAACAACAATTTTCATCATCTACACTACCTACATCATCGCATTATCAATCCCATCCGCGTTGTTCACGTTATCAAAACGGTTATAATAGTGGCAATAATAATGAGCATCACAGTCATCAGCATACACGTCCTCTGAGTATTGCTTTGCCAATTGATAATGAAGAAAGAAATGAAACTTCTCTTGATTCATGGTATTCAAGTGGTCAATCACATCGTCGTTGTCAGACAGAATATTCTCCTAGATATAAAGATTTTGCTACTTCTGCATCAGCAGATTATTCAGGTAAACTTAATCGTTGTTGTTTTTATATCTTGCTCAGGGAAGAAACTATTGCCTTTTTTATTCAGTTATTGTTTTAAAACCATCTCAAATCACTAAGTGAAGAGGGGTTTCATCATTACTTCAGGGCTTATTCTTTGTAAATTTCCGGTGAGAGATCGCATGCATCAACAACACATTGCCATTTAGTTCTGTTCTCTGCAGCAGTCCTCTTCAGCTGCTTACACGATTGTTCATAATTTCTAAATCTCCTTCATGTCACCTTCTGGACCAGCGCCCAACTGGCTGTTTCTCATTTGGAATCCAGTCGACTGATGATCCGGGGAGCAGTGTCATTCATCAGTCTTTTCAATTTGTGTTCGATACTACTTACTTCATTTACTTGAGAATATTTGTTGAACATTGCGTTCCTGATTGGTTTCTCCCCAGAATTTCTTATCGCAGAATCTTATTGGCCAGCTATCTGATCCTCAACACCCATCCGGCTACGGCAGCTAGTAATAAACGTCTGCAATAGCCTGTTGAAATGCTTTCCGTGACACTAATGCCAAGTTTCTTGCCCACAAAGGGTTTGAAAATCCTAAATTTGCTCTTTACAATGAGTGCAGAAGATTATCACCACATAGACGTCAAAATAAAGAAGGCTTCACTTACCTTTCTGAGTCTGGTTTAGATATCCCCATCAGTGATTTGTACTTGTTGTTGTTGTTGTTCGGTTACCTTTATTACCACTGTCTTCTCTATGTTCACTTGAAATGTTCACCGTCTTCGGTGCTACTACTGTCAATTTGTTGGTTTTTCTAGTCATTTCCTGCGTGATCTGCACATGATTTATTTTTCCTGAATCCACCATGTTCTCGTTAGAGTTCTGCATATAGTGCACCTTTTATTCTGTCCAGGATAACGCAAATTATCCTTTAGCTTGACACAGACAACAATACTATTCCTCAGCAATTCTTGCAGATGCATCTGTTGCTCTTCTCTATTGCAGTTTGGCGAGGCAGACAGTAAAAATCTCTACTTCTTTCCAATCATTTTGCAACAGTGGTGTTTCTAGGTCCGTCTTCATTGCTTCCGGAGGAATTCCATTCGGTCTTGCTGCTTATCCGGATTTTTATGTAGCTTAGCTGCATTTACGTCTTCTAATTTTATTGGAGAGTTGATGTCCAGTAGCAGTTCTATAGCTGGTTAGATCATTAACAGGTTTCAATTGAAATTGAGTTATATTCTTATTTTGTAGCTGGTTGAACTTGGAAACTAATCTGTCGACACATATTCTATTGTGGATAGTATTTTCCATATTTTCAGTATGAGTGATGAGTTATTATTATTCCTACCAACCAGGTCAGGAGATAAAAAATCGTGGAATCATATATATGAAGCTGGAAATTTGTATGAGTACGTTAATATGATTATGAGCAAATGAGTGTGCTTGAAACTTCATCAGTAAATATATCTGTTTAACACTACGAGACTTTTTCAAAATAAATCTTACCTACAATGGAATTATACTCTAATGTTATTAGATGGTTTAAGGCAGTCGGCAGGAAGCCTTGGCTCCAACTAAGTTTCGTGCTAGTTGGTACTCATCAACACGGCGTATCTGCAACCTCAAAGTAATGTCCCTTCTGAGATTCGAACCCGCGTCACCAATCAGTGCTGCAGTCAGGGAAGTTACCACTATGCTAGTTATTCGGGCTTGCGATTGACCTCCTGGGGACTCTAGTGGATACTTTGATTGGACACTAGTAACTGATGTAATGCGTCGAGTCCTTTCTTTGGTGCAGACTGAATTCTATCAGTCAGGAATTATACTTTGACAGTATAGCAAGACATATGGTGTTGACTGTCACTCACATAAATGAGAGGAACCTGAAAGAAGTAACCGACTTTACCTACCTGAAAAGCATCGTTTCAACTACAGGCGGACGGAACTGACGAGGATATCAAGGCAAGAATCGGAAAAGCAAGACAAGCTTTCATTACTCTCAAGTCTATGTGGAGGTCAACAACACTCAGCATCAAAAATAAGATCCGTATTTTCAACTCCAATGTCAACTCAGTCGGTGCTACTATACGGATCAGAGACTTGGCGAGTCATAAAGAGCATCTCAAACGAACTACAGACATTCATCAACAGCTGTCTTCGCTCATTACTCAAGACCAGATGGCCAGCCACAAAAGATCAGCAACAAGGATCTCTGGCAATGAGCGAAACAACCAGGAACCGAACGTGCAACAAATAGGCAGGAAGAAATGCAGATGGGTTGGCCATACTCTGAGGAAACCATCAAGTGACATCACTAGACAAGCCATTGCTCTAGTGGAACCCGAAAGGGAGGCGGCGAGTTGGTCGTCCAAGGGTGACTTGGATGAGGTGTTTTGAAGAGTAGATGAAAGCATGTGGACAGACCTGGAGCGGGGTGAAAAAGTTGTCAGAAAACAGAAGGCAATGGAGGTGCGCAGCTGAAGCCCTATGTTCCTCCAGGAATTAAAAGAAATAAGAATAATAAAGTATTTTTTGTGGGAAGGTCTACATTGAATCAGTAATTATGTTATTTTGAAAAAATTGTCTAGCGTCTATTGAGGTAGTGTTCCATTTTTTTAAAATTGTTTTCTTTAGGACCTATTTATCTGAATGCAGCCTTGAATGCTTTCGGTTATGGATGCAGACCAGAATGGAAGCAGTTTTGTGTTTCTCCATCTGCACGACGTTTAGCGCATGCAAAACAATCGTTGAGAATGAGACAAATGAAGCGTAATTCACTTGACACAGAATTATACACAGACATATCAACAGGAGACATTCATGAATCTCTTAATAATACTAAACATGTTCTGAATAATGATCAGCGTAAAGAGACCATATCATTTTATCATGAAAATGAAAGTGGCTGTAAGAATGGGGAGAATTCTGTTGAAAGTAAGCCTAAACAAACTATTGGATATTATTGTGATGTAAGTACTCTATAAAAAGTGACTACTACTACAAATTGCTTTATTCTGGTTATATGTTAACACATTGTTTAATTGTTACCGCTTTATCAAGTGACTGAGAGATGCGATAGTTGACTTTTGAGACTTTGCGATGGTATAATTTCTTAATTAAAAGACTGATTCTTTATCGACGAAATCGTCTTCAGAGGCTGTACAGTCGTATTGATACTTACAAAAATATACATAGTTGTCGAGACAAGTCCTCAAAGAGAATGGATATCCTCTAGGATTTATCGAGAAAAACATGAAGTTAAGGGGAAAGCCTGAAAGGATCCAGGCGATGCCGAAGAAACTGATATTTATGAGCGTTGAATTTAAAGACGATACGCAGCTGAGATCTTGAAGAATTGCTTATGCATATCACTGAGGAAAGCTTCTTTATGGCTGAGCTACGGATCAATTTCTACAACTGACAAATGATCAATGGATCTGTGAAGGATAAACTGCTGCTTTGGGCCACATCAATGTGTGTTTATAAATTCACCTGCTCGTGTGGAGCTAGCTATTTATATTGGCCACCCGAACAAAGCGCACGCTTTCCAAACGCATCTCTGAACATTAACCGGCATGGTTAGCAAAGGGACAATGCCAGACAACTACTAGCTAAATACTCAAGCATTTGGTGAACTCAGGCCACGTAGCTCCGCCAGATTCGTCTTTCAAGATCATCTACAAAGTGAAGCCAAATGGTACAAAGGGTATCAGGTTTCGGCCTTTGTGTATGCCGGATGCGCTAGCGATTCGTGAATACAACCCTTAACTCTGAATACAGAAAACGTTTGTCCATTCTCTTATTTTATCCTAGTCTTAACCTCTTCACTGATCGTTTCCTGTAAAAAATTTTGATTTTTCCTTTTTTAATTTTACTTTTAGTTTGCTTTCGCTTTAATAATTAATTCACTGTTATATCACTCTCATATGCTCCTTCAGTACATTTCACACCGTCTTCACACTTGTTAAATTGACAGTCAAATTTTAACCTCATCGTATTTCTATCTTTGTGCCGTTGAGTACCACGTAATTTTTTAACTTTTAATTTTCACTTCTAAAGCCACTTCTGAGTAATTATATCAATTATGTCACCCCTATTACTCAATAATAGACAACTATATATATTTTTGTAAGTATAAATACGACTGTACAGCTTCTGAAGATGATTTCGTCGATAAAGAAAATTTTCTTCGCCGAATCTGTCTTTATTTTCTTCATTAATAAATGGGTAGTTACTTTATTCTTTTGACGGGTTGGAACGCAACTGTAACTATAAAACTGTTAACGAATAGTTAAGTGTATGAAGTTTGTGTATCGGCCTCATACTACATATCAATCGAATATTTTGATTGGTTACTAGTTGATGATAGCCAGTGTCATGCGTTTAGCCACCATTGTACACTCTAGATTGTGGTTAAGAGGTTAGAATTACCTGCAGTTACAGTGCTGCAGGATTTCAGTTGAAAACCTGGGTAGCTAGCTCACTTTGAAAGTCTGTAACTGCAAACCTAATTAGCTGGGGTTAAAATCTCAGAGAAGACATATGTTCTCCTAAAGGTTGTAGATACACCTTGCTGAGAAGCACGAATTCCAAATCGAAGGCTTCTTGTCGATTGCCTTCAAGCTTCTAAAACCTAACAGAAATATAATGTCTTCCAAGATACGAAATATCCTGTCTTTAATTTAACTAAGTAGTTCTAAATTTGAAGCCTTAAATTATCCTTACAAGTTAACATCACGGTTTCATTTATTTATTTATGTTTTATTCCCTTACATCACGAATGGAACAAAGGGCTTCAACCTAGAGCTTTCAAGCTTCTGTAGCAGTTATTATTTACGGGGTGCGGTCACCAACCTCACATTCAACCTTCATTCTTTACCGGCTCTAAAAGGGCTCTCTTTGACATCAATTTTGTGTTCTTTATCCACAAGATGAGATAGAATAGCGCCACGAATAGATTTAGTTTCGCCTTTACTTAATCACATAGGATGATGTTCAGAAATCCAACGAGAAACACGATTAATTGTACGGCCTAAGCAACTAAATGGCTCCACAGAAGCAGTTGAATTAGTAGATACACATGGAAGAGGCGAAATTATGCAGTTTATATTTTACTCTTAAACTCAAAATAGGGAGGATTTCGAAGATGCAGAATAATTCAACAGCAGGGAATGCTTGTTTCACCACATTTCTAAGGTGTTGTGTTAGATTCTCGCTGATGTTGTCCCTGAGGAACTGCATTTGTAAGAATAAGGCCTTTTAGGAACTGTTGGTAACTTGGACTGCTTTGATTTTAGATTCATATTCTTATCAATAAACGTTTCCGGATAATCTTTCAGTAATATTAAGTTCTTCATGAGGACATTCATCTGAGCACTTTACTCTTGCTCTATGAGGCAAGTAGTTTATCAGGTTGCGTCTGTATTTTAAGGGGACGAAGCTGAGAAAATATTTATACTCACCCGTTGATGTAGGTTTTTCTATATGCACTTCTCCATATTGTTTCATCCTCTTTGCTGGTCATAAGGAATGAAATACTAGAGTTTTTTGAAAAATTTAATTTATTTAATCTGTTTTCATCAAGTAATAAGGTGACTTGATTAGAATAACAACACACTCTCAAAGTAAGAAAACCACTGTTAAATTAATGACCACTGGACAGTGGTTTCACATCGACGTGGATATTTGAACTAGGCTTTACCAACTAACTCAAATAGGGCGTTGATTTAAGCCTTTATAGACTATGGACATCTAGTCAAATGTTTTTCCAACAACATGACAAAACCAAACGCTAATGAAACTCTGTAGGCTCGCTATGAAGGAGAGTATATCATCATGAGCTGACATCAGTTTTTTTTTAAATTTTTTTTATTACGATTACACCTTGATTTCACACTGTAGTTTTGGTACAAGTATGAAATTTTCAGCATGCGGTATCGGTAGCCCAAAATTCGCAGGCCGACCATAGATATCAGGTGTGCGTCGGCAGGGGATCGAACCCCAGACCATGTGCATGGTCGGCGAGAGTCCTAACCACTGTGCCACCGACGTACAGAACCCCTGGAAAACCTGTGGGTACTGAACATTCAGCTGTTTCGTCCTTATTTGGGACTCTTCCTCAGTACGCACCCACCCACCGGGGTTTGAATACAGGACCTTCCAGATAACAAGGCGAGCTCGTAGACCATTAGGCCACTGGAACCCGAACCAATGGCCAGTCAATGAATTCTAACTTCTTCCAATTCACGAAATAGCGCTACCATTTCGTAATGTCTTCTTCGATGATTTACTGTTTCATGTTCAACCTACTGTAGCGTATTGTTGACGTCTTCCCCCTAGAACCTTAGGTTAACTGTCTGAATATGGCCAGTCGCTAGTGAGCATTGGATGGATTTTCAGGTATTTGTTTTGTAGGGATTTTTGTTTGATATGATGGACGATTTCATCATGAGGTGACATCAGTTGGAGAACCACTGGAAAATCTGGGAGTACTAAACAGCGGTTTAGTCCTAGTTTGGGACTCTTTGACATTACGCACCCTACCGGGGTTCGAACTTTGGATATTACTCATCAATTAGTGTATTGTGTCTAGTCCTTTGTTTCGTGCAGACTAAATTCTTTCAGTTAGGCCTGCAATGTGGCCACAATGCTAGGTGGCTGACCATCATGGTGCACTATGAACTGTTGGTACTAGATGGTTAGAGACAGTCGGCCACAGGGAAGTCTTGCACTTAGGTGTTTCGTGCTAGTTGGCCCTCATCTGTCTGCACCGCACATAGAACTAGACGCATAACACTAGTTACTAGTGTCCAATCAAAGTGTCCACTAGAGTCCTACAGGAGGTCGATCTTGAGCCCGAATACCTTAGTTGTAACTTCTCTGACTGCAGCACTGACTGGTAACGCGGGTTATAATCTCAGAAATGACATGAGTTATTATTTCAAGGCGATTGCAGATACGCGTTGCTGATGAGTGCGAACTAGCACGAAACCAAGGTGAAAGTCTTCCTGCCGATCGCTAGAAGTGCTGGTGGTATAGAATTTGTCCAAAAACTGGATGGACATTTTCACTGACATAGAGCTGATAGCATCAGCTATGTACCCTGTTGGGCTCAGATCAGAGAGCTGAGTCCTCGCAAAGTATTACCAGTAATCCAAAGTAGTTAGCCTGAATATGGACATTTTGAACTGATTCGAATCTATCAAATGGACAAAACCGGATACGCAGCTGATGGGCTCGATTGCGGACCAGCGAAGTAGCTGCCTAATGGTTTGATCAACTGTATCTGACTGGGAAATACATGACTGGTGGCCAGTAAATAATATCCACCAACTAGATATATGTGTAAGGGTGGTAGGTATCTCTAAAATGACTTAAAACTGTTAATATCTCCTAATGTGTGTTCAGTCAAATTATGCACTACAGTTCAGCAAGAGGTCAGTCATCAAGCTAAATAGCTCGGCTGTAAAGCCTCCTAACAGCAGAACTGGGTGACCAGATTTCGAACTTCAGAAAACATATGATTTCAATAACGCCTTGCGGACGCTTGAAGGTTAACAGGCACGAAATTTAATTCCGCGTAGGGCTTCCCTTCTATTGCTTTTAACCATCAGACAATTTATTTTGTACACCATCCGGGTTTTATTGTAAAATCAATTTACTATGCAAATTATGGTCTCCTTGGTTTTATTATATATAATATATATATATATATATATATATTTCTTGATATTCTCGATTATTCCTCCTGTCAGATTATATCTTTATTACTAAAGCTTGCTGAATTTTATCTTGTCATTGTCAAGAAACTAACAGTGACATCGAAGTCATCTTGCGAAGATGATTTATATATATATATATATATATATATATATATATATATATATGTACACAGCTAACCTGGGTATAAACACAAATTAGTACAAAATGATTTCAATATTTTTACTACTTTAATCTGATAAGACCCTTA